TTTCAGAACAACATGATGGGGTGTACGAAGTACAGTGCACTTGACTCGGTCGATGGGTATTACCAATTGCTCATGAGAGCGAGTGATATTCCGCTGACAGCGGTGAGCACTCCGATCGACATGCTTTGGGAGTGGCTGGTGATGCCTCAAAGGCTGTCAAATGCACCAGCGACATTTAAGCGTCTTGTGACTCAGGCTCCACAGGGCGTATACACAGACATACTTTGACGACATTTTCGTTCACAGTCGGGTAGAAGTACCACATCGTCCATTTAAGATCGGTGCTCGAGTTCATGCGCACGAATAAACTGTGCGCCAATGCAGACAAGTGCATCTTTGGCGCAGAAGAGGTTTTCTTTTAGGATGCTTCATTGGGAAGCGTGGCCTTCGAGTGGATCCTGCTAAGGTCAAGGCCATTGTGGACTGGTCGGTTCCAAAGAACCAGAAGGACTTGCGTGTCATGCTGAAGTTGCATATCGCTGTGCGGACGCTCATGACGATTTTAAGCACGTCGTGCGCCGGCTGCCTCGCCTTGGGAACTACCGCGCTCTGTCGGAGCGAATCCTAGCCGTGGAGCAGGCGAATGCGTCGCTGCATGCGACGGCGAAGCACTTGGCGCCATTAGAGTTGTTGCACTCCGTGCTCAAAACCAGTTGCTGGTTCAACTTCTGAGTGGCCGAGGGTCCGTGGAATTCGCTTCGGCGCTAACGCTTCCGCGTTCACCTGCGCCGGATCCCGGTACGGCTTGAGTAAGCCCACGTAAAACACCGGATGGGTGCGCATCCGTTTGGGAAGGTTTAGCTTATACCCTAGGTCCCGCTTGGCCACAACCTTAAACGGTCCAATAAACCGTGGACGAAGCTTCGTCCGGAGGATAGCAGAGGCTGCATGTGTAGACAGGTTCTTAGAATTTTATGAAACCAGGTCCCCGACCTTAAATCTTTCCACTTTGCCTCTTCCATTTTCATCTGCATATTCTTTTTGCAGGTCTTGGCTTTCGGCCTTCGCATCGCGAACGTGTCGTAGGACACTCAGTCTGGCAGACAAGATTCATCGACTTCTTTACGGATGGTGTGGGGGCTGACATCAGCTAGCCGTTCGGCTAATCCTTCCCCACCAAGCCCTGAGTCATGGGATGGCGGCATCAGCGGGACGCTATGGTGAATCAATCCGTTCACGTAGAACGGCGTGTAGCCGGTAGACGAATGCACTGTATTGTTCAGAGCAAACTCTTCGAGTGGCAACATGGCGCTCCAGCACCTCGGAGTCTCAGCGCAGACGCTGCGAAAAACGTCTTTGATGACGCGATGCACTTTTTCGGTTTGACCATCGGTTTGCGGATGATCCGCTGTCGACATATCCAACTTGGTGCCTAGCACCTTGAAGATAGTCGACAAAATTTTTCTCGTGAAACGGGAGTCTTTATCAGAGACAAGCGACTCTGGGAGTTCGTGTTTACAAAAAACACAATCCACGAACAGCGTTGCTGTACCAACTCCGTCGATGGTGTCTGACACCGCCGTTAAATGAGCAATCTTGCTCAACCGGTCGACGAATACCACGACACCCGTGTTGCCTGCCGAATCTTTCG